GAAGCTTCACTTTAACAGTCTGATATCAGTACTGCCTGACAATGAGACAAGCAGTGAAGGAAAATGACAGGACTGGCCTTGTACAGAGGCCTTGCAAGACTAATCCAAGAAAGGTCTAAAGTGAAAGCAAGAGATGCTGCATTCCAAAGAGAAAGAGCTGCAATAGGGAGCAGGGAGAACGGCAAGGATGATGGCGCCGCATACCCAGACTGGGGAGCATGTAGGAAGAACCGAGAGCGTCAGTCCATGCAGGAGAGGGTGCCAGCTCTGAGCTGGACAGGCTTGAGGCAGGCCAGTCCAGGGGTACACAAGTCCAACTTGACCTTGGTGCCCCAGAAAGGCACCTGACAGCAGCTTCAAAGGGAGGCCTAAGAGTTGGGGATTGGCTGTGGCAAAAATACAATCTAGAGGTAGGCCTTTTTTTTAGTGCACAAGATACAGTTATGAATCCTTCACCCATGTACAGGCACTCCGAGAACTGGTCCTCCTAGGTGTTTTTATTAAGACCTGGTTTCATCACAAAGTATAAAATTTTCTAATACAAGTTGTTAGAAATAAACAACTAGAGCAGGAGATTATAGCTTAGTTGGAAGAGTACTCACCTAGCATGCAAAAAGTCCCAAGTTCAAGCCCCAGCATCACACAAAACCAGATGTAGTGGTACATACCTGCACTTGAGAGGCAGAGGCGGAAGGTCAGAAGTTCAAAGTCATACTTGGCTGCATATCAAGTTGAAGGCCAGGCTTGGCTACATGAGAACATCTCACTAAAACTAAAAACAAAAAAATCACAACTAATTCATTCAAAGTTGGATAGAAATGATTACTGTGCTACAATTTTTTTTTTCCTGAGACAGGGTGTCTCTGTGTGGCCCTGGCTGTCCTGGAACTTGCTCTGTAGACGAGGCAGGCCTTGAACTCAAAGATATCCCCATGCCTCTGCCTCCCAAGTGCTAATTAAAGGCATGCGCCACCACTGACCAGTTTTGTTTAAAAAAAAAAAAAAGGCAAGGTCTCAACAGTACTCACGCTAGCCTAAAATCCAAAATCCTTCTTCTGCATAATGCTGGGATTATAAATGTGCTCCACCACTCAGCCACACTATTTTCATGATCACCCAACAGTCAGAAACTTACATCCCCAAACACAAAAAGACTCAAAGAACCAGAGGAAAGCATCTGTTTTCCTTGAAACACAATTCAAACTGGTTCATGGGCCCACAATAATTCTGAAATCAGCTAATTCACTTCCATACCCAGGCACCATGTAGGTAGATGGTGCTCACACTGTTAGGGACAGGCCTCAGACGGAAACCATAGGCAGGAACCAGCAGGAGACAGCCCCTTTCATCATGTCTCTACTCCAGGATGCAGTTTTAAGTTAGACCAAACAACTGAAGATGCATTCCAACTTTAGAGAAAACTACTTCACTGTCTACTCAGGGAAATCCAAACTTGGACAAAAGCACCCTCCTGACCACATCCCCCAGCCCAGCCCAGGACAGCAGGAGGAGGTACCTTGCAGGCTCTTTGGGGCCAATTACAAGTGAACTTCTTGCTCACCTCCAAGATAAAGAAACCCACAAAGAAATCCAGTCATTGTTCCAAAGGTGTTTTATTTTTAAATTCATTGAAGAAATAAAATTATATTTAAAAAAATAGAGTAATCTCACAAACTGAAAGCCAGAAACAAAAAGAACAAGTTAGTATTTTTCCTGAGAGGCAGATCTGATTAGCTGTATGGAATCCTACCTAGCCTGTCAAATACACAGGTATCGTTCCTATTTCTAAGGCATCAGAAGCACTCTAGGTGCTACAAGGGTTGTTCAGGCACGAAGCTTCAGCCCAGGGGGCAGGAGCGGCTAAGAAACATCAAAAGCTGCTGCAGTTCCTTATCAAACTGTACATGTTTCTACTTCCATAGATTGAGAACTACAGAAAATGAGTGGACTCATGACCTGGATTTCAAATCCCGGGTCACATTTTAATAAAATCCGTATGAAGATTCCAAGGTCACCTGTCACAAAGGGCCTGGACAGAAGGGAAGCTCTGATCCCTCCCTCTGCAGCCACCCCAGGGGACACAGGTGTGGCCAATCCACACTATGGCCTATCCACAAGGCAGATCACTCTAAAGGTTCCCCAGTAACAAGCTATCTCCAAAGTCCTAAACTTACCCACTCCCCAAACTTAGTTCCCTTCAGTTTTACACTGAGAACTCCATCAAGCTGAACATCATTTCCACTTTAGTAACAAAGTCCAAGGCCAGCTAACATTTGTGTTCTATGTGGAACTGCTTGCTTGTGCTAACCATCTGATTTACAAAGGTTAAGAGCATTTAGTTAGAACTGATTTGTATCTTCAGATTAGAAATATTGAGCACTGCCTTCCCTATGGCTTACATCCTCGCACCAGTAACTACAAATTTCTTGAGAACATCCATTTGTGAAAGCTGGTGTTTGAAAGTAGGAGTTTCCAATGTCTGTGTACCTGCTGTAGGTTCTTACATGTTCAACCAGGACCTAACTGTATCTCCCATTAAGTTCACTACATAGTATCAATCAGGTGGTAAAGATTAGGATTGTATGGGTGCATCCTTGTTAGTTATACAAAACATCTGTCAATCTTTGTAAGTGATGGCTATTACAACCAAGGTAAACTGGTGCTGGACCCTAACTTTTAAGAACCCCTCTCATTTCTTGGTTCCCTAAGAACAGTGTCAACTCCTGTCTTCAGCACAATGGCCCTAAAAGCCTTTGCTGAGCTGCAGGGCACCAACAGCTTCTGCACAGAAGAATCCGCACTCTTCTGCCACACTTAGGGAGCAACCTGAGTTATACTGGGGTGCAGTAACTGAGTCTTAGTAGGAAACCAGGCCAGAAATGACCATGTTCAAGCAAGATTCCCAGCAACACAAACTGTGATCATGCAAGACTCATGTTTTCGGCACCCTCTCAGGAACCAACAAACTAGCTGGAACTGTGAAAAAACTGTGAGTTACCAAGACAATCTATCTACACTACAGCACTGACAAAGCGGACCCTAGAGACACCCTAGCGGCTCTGCAGTTCACAACAAAGTCAATATCCTGAGTTTTATCAGCTTTTTCTCTCTAAAATAATTTATATAGAACATAAAAGCATACTAATGGATAAACGGGCAATGAAACATCAAGTCTGGAAGAACACCCCACTAAACTAGAAAAGAAATTCCTCAAAAAAGGATAAAAAGATTTAGTAAATAAATTAAAGATTGAAACCTTATACTTTCAAGTTTTCTTTGACTATTCTTTTGAGAGATGTCATGAAGTTGACACATTTTTCTAATAATCATTTAGAGTTGAGATCAAATGCCAAAACGTGCCTCTTCACACAAGCACACACAAAAAACTAAAAAATCATGGCCCCGTTGGGAGTTATTCTGAACACGGGAGAAACCAAATCAATTGGTATTCTTTTCTTTTGTTGTTTTTGAGACAGGGTTTCTCTGTGTAGCCCTGGCTGTCCTGAGCTCACTCTGTAGAGCAGGCTGATCTTGAACTCAGAGAGATCCATCTGCATCTGTCTTCCTAGTGCTGGGACTAAAGGTGTGTGCCACCATGCCCAGCATAAATTAGTATTCTAAATCATGGTCTGTATCATCAAGCCAAGGTGTTTCACTTACTAACTTGGCTGTCAGAAAATGGTTCCCCCCCTTAAAACAAACGCTACCTTGATCAGCATCCACAGAAACTAAACTGTCAGTACACAGTAGATACTGTTTTTTAGGACACAAGATAATGCTAATCCAATAAACCAAAGGACCCCAAAACTCAATCCCACTCTTTCTATGCCCTTTAAAACAAAGGGCAAGGAGCACTTCTTTCATTCCTAAATGCAATTTGTATTTTGACATGACCTGCATGGGGTTTCTTTACTTTGCCTGAAGTCATTTTTAAAAAATATGTACTTGTTGAGATAAACAATAACAATTATGGTAACACAAGTTTATACTAGCTGTAAAACAGAGCCAAATTATTATGATTGGTTTCTGAAGCCCTAAAATTTACAATACACAATTTAAACTAAAATCACAAATCGAGGAACACAGATGGAATCCAGCTTTTCTTAATCCACGGTATTGTCTCATTAAAACCCAAAACCTTCTGTATGCCCCTCCACTTTCCCATTCCTAAAAAAGATGCATTTCTGGGGAAGTCAAGATTTATTAAGAATATTAAGGTCCAGGAATTTTGTTTTAACCATAAACCCTAAGTCTTCTTTTAGTGCTTCAAAAATCCATTATCATTTAAGACCAGATAAATTACATGGCTAATCAACTGTTCAGTGCTGAGCCTAGAAAATAACCTCCTATGGAACAAGACCAAGCTCAGCCATGGAACCAGGCGGTACAGGATGGTCACACCTCTCATGTTCAAGCCACAAAGCTGTGGTGCCTGGAAGGAGATCTACTGCCCTGTGTCATCAGAATTTGTCGTCGTAGTTTCAGTGCTGATGGGCTGCACGTTATCAGCGAGGTTGTGTGCATGCTCCAGAAACAAATCTTTCAGTACACTTAATTCCTTTGTCAGCAACTTAATTTTGGCTTCCAACCGTTCATTCTCTTCTTTGAGCTGGTTCACTCTTTGCAGTGTATCTTGAGCTTTCTGCTTGCTTTTTAACCGGCTCTTCTTCACGGCCATATTGTTCCGCTCTCTGCGCTGGCGATATTCGTCACTATTTCGATCCATGGGTGAGCTCTTTTTGCTTTGCTTGCTTGGAGGCACAGCTTTACCTCCTCCCCCAGGCCCAGCGGGCACCAGCTGAGGAACCTGCTGTAAGCCACTGGCATGTGCCTGAGTATGAATGACACTTATTCCGTTCACTCCTGGAGTAGTGGCTGGCTGCGACAGCTTGCTCATTTGGGCGTGTTCCTTTGCCAACACAGAACAGGCAGAAACCAAAGCAATGTGATCAGCAGAGGCCACACTCAACTGCCAAAAAATCTTCACATGTACCTAGTTAGAAAATAAGTTGCATTAAAACACTTGAAATGACAGGATCAAGTAAGATTAAACTTGATGGACCTACTGCAGGCAACCATTATTTGGTTTTTCTGACACAACTGCCAACTATTGGAGTGTTTCCAAATTTCAAAAGATAAGTTGGTTCAGAAACACCATAAGCTAAAGGCCAGCCCCACCTGGGCATAGATGTGATTATCAATAAGGGGAGGAAAAAAAAACAAAAGCATAACACAAATTAGGTAGCACACGTGAGCTAACAGCACTTGGACAATCTGAGCTGTCTGGATTGAGTGAGCATGGAAAAGCAAGTTCAATATTGTAAAAGGGACACCTGCAATGAGAGGGGGGCATTTCAGTCTGCAGAACCCAGTGTGCGGCTATGATGGCAGCACATCCCTTACTCAATATTCCCAGGGTGACTTCTTCATCTATTGTGGGCTATTTTTTAAGGCAAGGTATTTTGAGTTGGTTAGTTGATTTGCCTTTTTACATTTTTAGTAATCTTATATGATAGTTTACTGAAATTTACTCAATTGGGTTCTTGTATTTGGGAATAGAGACATCCAATAAAGTACCCCCATTCCAGCCTGCATCTGTTTTTATTCTTGACAGAATCGCCTAGTCCAGCAGTTCTCAACATGCAGGTTGAAATCCCTTCTGCAAACTTTTATCTCCAAAAAATATTTACATTATAAATCGTAACAGTAGCAAAGTTACAGTTATGAAGTAACAACAAAAATGTTATGGTTGGGGATCACTACAACATAACGAACTGTATTAAAGGTCACAGCATCAGGAAGGTTGAGAACCATTGGCCTAAACATACTGATGAAGAAACAATGTTCTAACGATACAGTCAAGGAAGGTAAAGTACTAGAACTCAGGCAGGACCAAGGACAAATGCAGCCAGTGTTGGGATCCACTTCTCCCTCAGGGAGCTAAGCAGACACTGAAACACTTCTGTGGAGAAACTACTGAGAGCTGGCTAGCTGTGGCTGTAACTAACCCCTCTGGTCACCCGTGAACTGTGGAGTGTGAAAGCACACCCCACCGACCCCAGCCATAGAGGACAGGTCACTACAAACTGAACAGCTGAGTCAGCTGTGTCCGCCCTAGAGGACAGGTCACTACAAACTGAGCAGCTGAGTCAGCTGTGTCCACTAGGAGACACAGCACCCTTACAAGTGTATACCCGGCTCTCTTTTTCCAGAACTGCTAAAACAACATCAATGGACAAAGCTGGGGAAGTTCACTAGAGTTAGGAAAATGCCCCAATGAGTACACCCAGTGTAAACACCAGTCCAGTCAGTAAACATCATCAGCTTCACCCAAACTTTGGTCAAGCCTTTATTCAAGCATGCTTATTAAGTTGGCCTTTTATTATTTATTACTATTAATCTTTGCCTTTAAATGTCCATGTATCATTACTTTGAATTGTTTTTAAAAAGCCACTTAGGCAGCCCTGAGCTAGTGGGTCATCTGTTCTTACTCCAGCACTAAAGCAAGACAGAAAGCTTCCTTCCAAGCAATGATGGATATGGACTCCAAGTTACGCTCAATAACAGACATTTCACAACTTCCCTTGAAAATGATTATGTGGCCTAATTTTTCTCCCACTTAAAAGGTGGTTGTTCAAAATACAGAAAGTAAACAAATTAATTAAAAAATAAGAAATGGGTATTAAGCCACCCTAGCTGCCATGGAACACTGTTGCTTATCAAGTTGGTATGTTTACGTTAAAGACTTGTATGATTTAATGCCTCTCCTGGGATTCTATTTCTTATATTCTTCTTCAGAACCAATCTCTACAGTCAATCTGTCCTAGCTCAAAAACAGCCAACAATCCAAAGAAGTGCAACTAGACACCAGATCAAATCTTTCCTTGGCTCTGGCTCCCTCATTTTTACCCCGGACATACCCCTTCCCTCCTATAAGCGTTAACTGCCCATCCATACAAGAGACGTGGAAATGGTCACCCAAAGAACAAAATACCATGAACTCCAGTCACTAACAACTTACTCACAACAGGCTTCAAATTCAGTGATGTCCTGAACCAAAATACAAGAATGGGGAAGGGTTCTAAACAATCTTACTAAGGTGCTAACCAGAAGAAAGGAGAGGTTTTGAGTGCACCTTTGGGCTAGAAAAACAAGAATATTGTTTATTGAACCTACAAAGTTGCAAGAAAAAGGGAGTGGAAATAAAAAGTAACTCATGATTGTCAAAAATAAATAAATAAATAAAAAAGTAGGCTGGACAAAGTGGTGCATGCCTTTAATGCCAGTCTTGGGAGGTAGAGTCAAGCAGATCTTTGTGAGCTTTGAGGTGAATGTGCTCTGCTGGTCTGCGAAGCAAGTTCCAAGACAGCCAGGGCTCTGTAGAGATCCTTTCTTTAAAAAAAAAAAAAAAAGTCGGGCAGTGTTGGCACATGCCTTTAATCCCAGCACTCAGAAAGCAAAGGCAGACAGATCTCTGGGAGTCAAAGCCAGCCTGGTCTACAGAGAAGTTCCAGGACAGCCCTACACAGAGAAACCCTGTCTTGGAAAAAAAATAAAAACAAAAAACAAATCTTCAACAAGTAGATAAATCAAAAAAGTAACTCTTAAAATGAAGAGTAGACAGAGGATTAAGGAGTAACTAACTTTGTTTTTCGAGACAAGGTTGCTCTGTAGCTTTGGAGCCTGTCCTGGAACTAGCTCTTGTAAACCAGGCTGCTGGCCTCGAACTCACAGAGATCTGCCTGTCTCTACCTCTCGAATGCTGGAATCGCCAGGCCAAGTACCTAATTTACCAGGCTTCTAACATCACAAACGTCTGCACTGAACAGACACTTGTTATGTATGCTTTTGTTCCTTTCACAAACATGTACTGAGCTCTACAGCAAAGCAGTCTGACATTTAGTATCTCGATATTTAACCCTAACTCAAAGTCTGGCTCCTGAATGGACTAGTCTATTCCAAAGTTCAGTCCACAGGAAGCTGGGTGGTGCCTCCTTCCTTGTACTTGTCAATCACCCAAGAAGCAATAGGAAAGCTAAGGAACAACAGACCTCAAAGTGGTCTCTGGACCGAACATCAGCAACTCTTACAAGTGCCAATTCTCAGGCTGCCAGACCAAAGAAGGAGTTTTCTTTCAGGGGTGCTCCCAACATGATTTTGGTGGCACTAACAAAGGAGAACTATGGCTGCGTATAAACAATGAATCTTAAGAATGTGGGGCTAAATGAAATGAGTTAACAGTTCTTTTTCAAATGCAAATTTAATTCAAGTAATGTTCTTTCAAAAGAATAAAACAATGAAACACTAAAATGCTAGAATAGTAAAATAAAATAGGATTTTTCTGTTTTTACTTGGAACAATAAACCTGTACAGAATTTTCCTAGCTTGTCTTTTTTTTCATAAATTTGGATAGAATCACATATTTTCCCCAATAGCCTCTCAAAATAAATTTTTTACTCAATTTCCTTAATGAAGGTTGAGTCTTCAAATTTACAAACAAAAATATATCATCACATCTATTGGCCCTCTCAATGCCACAGAAATTACCTCAGGCTGACATCATCTCTCAGGGGCCCTAATCTCAGGTGTAGGAGCCTGAGCTCCCCAAGCACTCCCTATCTAGACTAGCTAGGGCAGTGGTTCTCACCCTTTAATACAGGTCCTCATGGTGTGCTGACCCCAACCATAAGATTATCTTTGTAGCCAATTCATAACTGTAATTTTGCTACTGTTATGAATCGTAATATAAATACCTGTGTTTTCCAATCTTAAATAACCCCTGTGAAAGTTTTGATTGTCCGACCCCCAAAAGGCTTGAGACCCACAGGCTGAGTTGCTGATGCAGGGCAATCTTCTACTCAAACCTAATTATGTCCCATCTTGCTCCTGAAAATCAATGTCCTAACCCTCTACAGTTCCTGCTTCCTTACGCCCAACTCAAGACCACTACACTACCAAGTGTCTTCCAAGTGGTCTGTCTTCTCTGTGCTTTCTGTCCTTTCTGCTCCCCCAGTTTCTTTGGCAACTCCAGCTTCACTGTGTCTCCATGGAGACTGTTGGAGGCAGGGTCCATGAAGGAAAGGACACTCCCTCAAAGAGTCCTGTGAAGTGTTCCACTGGAGGATGGGAAGAAAATACATGCTTGTTTGGGTACTATCCCTTAAACCTACTCACAGTATTATTTAACACATCCAAAACAAAAACCTTGTTTTATAGATTTATAATATTAGATCCTGTTCAGGTCTTAAAACACCCCCCCACTCCCCCCCACCCCCGCTTTCTTCTTTAATGGCAGGGCAGGGCAACAGGGTGGGTAGGGGACCAATAATAGTGTTAAGAACCTATGCAACCACCCCACAGAGGGAAACCTAGAACTGCCAGAGCAGTCACTACTGCGACTGAGTGAGGCAACTCTGGACCAGGCCCTGTGTCTCTTTCTCCTGAGCTCAGGAGGGAATGTTCCCAGGGGCTTTTCCAGGGATCATTTAATTCACCAGGGATGAAAGCAGCTCTCCAAGATCACAGGGCCTGGCTGACAATCAGGACGTGCTTGGGAGAACTTACACTGGGGGAGGGGTGGCGTCTGTTCCCACTTATTTGTTTCTGATAGGTAATAAAAATAACTGAGCCAGTCGAGCATGGCCACCAGAGGCAGGAAACAGCTCAACAGCATCCTGTCATTAGTTTTTCAGAAACAGGGAAATAACCCCAGGGGTTGCTTATCAAAAATACTACTCAAGTGGCAACAGCTGAACAGACCTTAGAGAAGCCTAGGAGTGTGGCTCAGAGGTGGAGGGGCTTGCCCCGCCATGCAATCAATTCTTCTATGTAGAATTCCTCAGTCAAGAAAGCCCTTACGGTGCTTTATCTCAAATTTTCCTCTGTGAAGACAGGTCTGCATTCAAATAAGGATTCAAGTGGGTGGAAACTCGGAGACACAACCCCCAGCGGTTGTGCAACCCACAAAGGTTAAAACCTTTCTAAAATTGACACATCTTATGATGCAGCTTACCGAAACAACACACACAAACACGCACACACACACACACGCACACACACACCAACTCAAACAAGAGCAAAACTAAACATGCCAACGTTCTTAGGACCAGACACCCAAGCGCACTCGGAGAAACAGACCATCCTTCCCCTCACACATGCACGCCCGACCTCTCCACCTGGATTACCTCCGCTGGCTCTCTTCCCGCGTTCCCTCCAGCCGTGCTAAGGAAAGGCTTCATGGCTCGACCTTCTGCTTCTAGTGAACTGGTGGTCGATGAGCGATCTAGGATGCCCTCCCCCTCCCAGTGGACTGCAGGGCACGCGACCGTCTCCAGAACCAAAGCCAAGCACCCCTCTTACAACGTTATGTGTTTAGAAATCGAGTGTTTTCCCTAGGTTATAATCATTAGATTATTAACTCCAAATAGTACCCGGACCCTCCCCATGCCCGAGATGTTTGGGAAACGACAGGAAAGAGTCCTAGGTGGCTCCAAAGTAAGATTCGGTCCATCTTCTATTCTAGGAACACCCTCCATCCCCAGGGGCCAATGCGCGCCGGGCTTGTCACGCTGCACGTCGCAGGGGGCCGGGTTCTGGAGGGGCCACCTGGTCCTCCATCCCTTCCCCGACTGGGGTGAGGGGCGCCCGGGGAGGGGGGAGAAGCACGGGGGTCGGCGCCAGGCGAGGCGGCGCTGGGCCGCGGCCAGAGATGAGCTCAGCCCCGCCGGGTGTTGCCCGCAGGTTGCATCAGACGCCGCTCCGGGCCCCCGCCCGCGCCACCAGGGGCCTTCCGGGCCAGCCTGCCGATTCGGGCAGGGCCGGGTCTCGTCGGGCCGGGCCGCCGCCTACGCAAGCGGCGGGCTCCACCGCGGCCTCCTCCCCCAACCCCTCCGAGCGAGAGCCCGCGGCCTCCTTACCTGCACCTCCGGCCGGCCCGCCCGCCCCCAGGCGGCCTCCACTCCGAGCGGCCCCGCGCGGCGCGGCCCGACCCGACCCAGGCCTCGCAGCCCGCGAGACGGCGAGGAGGAGCGACGGTTACGAAACCGGCAGCCTCCGCCCGTTCCGCCACCGCGGCCACCACCGGCTTTCCCCCTCCTCGGCGGGTCCGCGCGCTGCCGCCGCCGCCGTGACCAATAGAAGCGCGGGTCTGAGAGCGACGCGCTCGCCCCGCGAGACGGGCAGCGCCACCAGCCAATCACGGGCCGTGTGACGGCGGGAGGCGGGCACGCGGCGGGGCGGGACCGGCGGGCGTGGTGGGCGTGGCGGCACCGGCGGTGGCTGGAGGCGCGCTCGGCGGTTCCCCCTTAGGCTGCTGGCCCTGGCGGGCGGCGGCCCCGAGCTGTGGGAGTGACCCGCGGAGGGGAAAGTTCAGTCGGTGTTGGAGGCTTGAGAAGACGGTCACCTTGTGAGGCTACCTGCCTTTGGGA